ATGAACAATAGGTTCATGCCTATAGAAATATAAGAATCATTAAATTTTTAGTTGATTATAAGTTTGTTAGATTTATAAGTTTTAGATATAATTGTTAGAATTTTCTTTTATTGTATTTAAAAGTTAAAAATATACATAAGGTTTATTTAACATTTTGTAACTGCAATCGCTGCCGTTTTAATTTTGAGTCAGACATATAATTTATGCTTGTTGGTAGTAATAAAAGTTAAAGATTAATACGAGGGCAAGAAGAAAAAGAAACACAATGATGAAAAACGTCAAGAACAGCGAGTCACGGGCTCATCGACCACAACAGATATAATCACTGGAAAGAACTGGCTGACCACCAAGTTTTATCTAACCTTGTGGACTATTAATTTTATGAGAACTGACATAATTTTAAGAAAAGTTTCCATTAACTATTGGCTTAATAATTTTAAAGGTTTATGTAGTTAAAATGCCCACAATCCCCCCCCCCCATATTGTGTAATAAATAAAAATGCTGTTTTCAGCCTGAAGGCCGCTTCAGCTGCTTTAGCTGCTCTGGCTGCAACAGCACTGACAGCCCACAAAGCGAGAACGTGCTTCAAAGGAACCGAGGTCTCTGCCTGTGTTTGTTATTTTCGCCAACTCCTCATCCCTTTTCAAGGGCCCTCAATTCAACAGGAGCTGGTCTCCAGCACCACCCACCAAACATGAAGGGACCAGCCTCTGCATCAGAGAAGCAGCATCCACAAGATGTCCCCAGAGCAGCCATGACCTGCAGTGGGAGAGGGAGGCTTTTCTGTCCTGGTACTGAGAAAACCAAAGTGCTGGGCCGCCAGCCACTGAACAAAGCCACAATTCAAATAGCTGCCTAAAATCCACCCCCTTCAGACTGCAAAGAGATCAGGTATTTGTGTGCAAGATAAAACTCAGGAATGCAGGACGGGTGAACACAGGTTAAGGAACACCCTGGGGAGCGACTGCAGAGCTACCGCAGCGGGAAGGGGAGGGGGAGCAGGAGCTTCCTCACTGGAACACATCCCTCATGAGTAAGAAGACACAGGAGGAGCTCCCACATCCACGTACTGTGCATGACCTTCTGTAACCCCTTTGAGGCAGGCAGCCAGGCTGCCCCCATTCTACAGATGAACCTGAGGCTCAGAGAAGGTGAGTGACTCACCCAGTTACATGCAGTTAGGGCGAAGCAATGCCAGATCAGCCCTAGGTCTGTGTGGTTCTAGATCCCAAGTCACATGGCCCCCACACGAACACACGCATGCGCATACAACCCTGCCCACTCCTGGACAGTCCGCTGTGTGGTGACCCAGGTAGAGGGTCAACAGCTTCAGTCACCAGAGTGTCAGCAGTTACTGCTGGGGTTTGACACTCAACTGTCCCATTTTACCTGGTAATGAGACCAAGGCCTGCTTGGTTTGATCAGAGTGGAAGGTTCCAGAAGTGAAGCAGGCTCATGACTGAATAGGCCAAGCTGGAATTCCTCAAGACTCACTCTGCCATCTCCGTCTTGATCCAGTTTGTTAAACAAGTCTTTGAGTTCCTAAACAGAAGCCATCACACTCAGGCCCAGAGGCCCACACACAGAGCTGCGTACCGGCCGCATTACCAGGGCCTCCCTGGCTCCAAGTGCCCGACAGGGCAGAGTTGCTTGTCCTTGTCCAACTCATAATTTTCTGGGCCACACCTACCTGTATTTTCCCAAGGTCTCCCTCCTCTGTCCTGTAAACCTACATGGCCTGGTCAGTTTCCATCCCACTGTGAGTGGATGTCACCTGAACTTCCTAATGCCACAAACATTCATGCAGTGTCTACTGGGCAGGACCTTGCTGGATGCTGAGGAGGTGAACTCACAGCACATGGCCTGCCCTCTAGTTCACAGTCGAGCCGGGCCATACAGAGAAGGGGGAAAGGGTGTTCCAGCCAGAGGGAGGATTGTGAGTGAAGGCATCAGACATGCCTGCCATGCTTGGGAGCAGCAGGGAGTCGGTGGGGCTGAGCTGCATGGTCAGAGATGGACTTTCCAAGGTGTCTGGAGTCTGACCTTGGGCAGAAGCAGTGGGAGCCATTAAAGGGCCTTGAACCAGAAAGTGATATAACTGAATCAGCATCTGAAGGGTGAAGGGATTCTACAGACCCAACACAAAACCGTGACCCATGGAACAAGTCACTGGGGTGGTCTGGGTGGCCCATCTCGCCCTCTTACCTCTTTCTCAAGTCCTTGGAGACCAATGCTCTGGCAGACCACAGCCAGCTCCTGCTCGTTCAGGTGGCCGCTGCTGCCAACACCCAGTGCTTCCCAGATGCCCCGCACCTGGCTCTCAGGGCTGTCAAAGGAGGAGCTACAGGACTTCAAGGGGCTCCCAAAGACTTCGGAGCCCCAGGATTGCAGCTGGCCTAAAGCAAGGAAGATTCACAGTTACATCCTGATATAATACAATGGAGTACCCAGCTTTAAAAAGACGGAAATCCTGACATTTGCCATGAGCATGAATCTTGAGGACATTATGCTAGGTGAAATAAGCCAGGTACAGAAAGACATGTACTGACACACCCCAGGCATCCACTGCTGTCCTCAAAGACCGTGACAGCCTCCTGCCATCCCCCACCTCACACACCTGGTGTTTAAGGATGTGACAGTTTGCCCACATATGTCTACCATCACCTCCAGTTTTTGTTTCCTGAAGTACATGACAACCACCTGTTCCAACTCTCCCCCCTCCAAAACGCCTTCCCTCTTCCTTTCGACCTGTCCCTGGAGGTCAGTTTAAAACGAGGCTTCAAAATTCTTTGACACTCTTCCCATCAGGTCTGCATCCCCTCTCCTCGAATCTGGACAACGCTGTGACAGCTTCCACCAATAGAACACAACGGGAGGGCCGGCCCGGTGGCGCACTCGGTAGAGTGCAGTGCTTGGGAGTGCAGCAGCGCTCCCGCCGAGGGTTCGGATCCCATATAGAGACCGGTCCGCTCACTGGTTGAGCGCGGTGCGGGCGTGACACCGAGGGTTGCGATCCCGCTGCCGGTCGCGGTACGGGCCCGACACTGAGGGTTGTGATCCCGTTACTGGTCACGAAAAAAGACAAAAAGGAGAACACAACGGGAGGGATGCAGTGTGACTCTGGGACTGGCCACAGCAGGGAGGCAACCCCAGTCTTGTCTGCAAGACCATGTGTGCTTTGGGCCCTGAGCCACATGCTGTGGGGAAGCCCAGCCACACCAAGAGGCCACGTGTGAGCCCCCAGCCCACATGTGAGCGATCCTTTGCATGACTCTAGGCCCAGCCTTCGAGGGTCTCAGCAGAGGCTCCAGACATCACAAGGCCCCTGCAGATCTATCCCTTCTCCAAGCCTTCCAGGAACCCTCAGAGAGCTCTGCAGAAGCATCAGAGAGCTTGGGCTCTGTGCTCACACACCGCATGAGGCTCAGTGTGACCCCCGCCTGGGAGGCCCAGGGGCTCTGAGAGGAGACGCTGACGGCATTGGGCAGGCCCAGGAAGTGCCTGTGCAGCCCCTTGTGCTCAACACGGGCCACTCCGTG